AGTCCTCAAATCATGGTTTAAAGACTTCATGTTACACAGAATTCACCATTTTCACTCATTTAAACCTGCAAGTGACCTGTGCCCATGCTGCAGAGAAAAGCAAAACCGCCCCAAGGTCTCTGCCCATCTGACCGGGGGGAAATTCCTTCTCAACCCCAAATATGGCGATCAGTTAGACCCTGAGCATGTGGACAAGATCCACCATGCAGATACCTGGGAAAGAATTCTCTGTACTAACTCAGAGCCCTCCCCATAGAGTGTCCTGTCTCCAGCAGTTGGGGATTTTTACTACTGCCAGTCACCAATGGGCCACATGCCATTGTAGGCAATCTCATCATACCAACCCCTCCATAAATGTATCAAGTTCAGTCTTGAAGCCAGTTAGGTTTTTTGCCCCCACTGCTCCCCTTGGAAGGCTGTTCCAGAACTTCACACCTCTGATGGTTAGAAACCTTTGTCTAATTTCACAAGTGTCTTGCATCAAGGTTTTTTCTCTAGCTCACAACTAATTTTTGCGGTTCTTCTCTGCACCATCTCCAACTTTTCAATATCCTCTGTGATGTTCATCATTGATGCGAGCAAGGATGAAAAAGTCACAAGTGACATTCTTATCCATCCTGCTGGCAGAGGATAAGGGCCCAAGCAGAGACAGACTCATCCTCAAGTCAAATGCATGACTGCACAGACAGTGTTGACAGGAGGGCTTTGGCTTCCTTGACTATGGGATGCTGTTCCATGAAGGACTCCTGGGCAGAAATGGGGTCCACCTAAAGAAGGGGAAGAGCATATTGGGACACCAACTCGCCAACACAGCAAGACGGACTTTTAACTAGTTTCAAAGGGGGTGGATGACAAAAGCCCACAGATAACTATGCAAAGATGACCTTGACAGATTCCCAGAATTTGGAGAGCTGGGGGGAATGGAAAATTTCAATAGGGTCATATAAGCAACAAGAGGAAAACAGTGGATGAATGTGCTCAACTTCTTAGATGTGCATACACAAATGCGAGGTACTACGGAGAATAAACAGGAAGTACTGGAAGTCTTAGTACACAAGCTAAATTATGACTTAACTGATATCACAGAAACTTCATGGGATAAATCTAATGACTGGATTATTGGTATAGAAAGTACACCTTCCTCAGGAAGAAAGTCTCTAGGTGAAGATAAAAGGGATGGGGGGAAACAGGGGCAATGTCATTGTAGAGGTCTACCAGAGACCACCAAATCAGGAGGTGGTGGGTCAGACATTTCTAGAACAAATAACAGAAATATCTAAAACACAAGACCAGGTAGTAATGGGAGACTAACTACCCAGACATCTACTGGAATAATAATACAGCAAAACATAAAAATGTCCAGTAAGTTCTTGAAATTTGTTGGAACAACTTTTTGTTTCAGAAGGTGGAAGACATAATTAGGGGAAACGTCCATTTTACACTTGATTCTGACTAAGAGGAAGGAATTGGTTGTGAATCTCAAGGTGGAAGGCAACTTGGATGAAAGTGAATCATGAAATGATCGACTTCTTGAGTCTATGGAAGGGAAGGAGTGAGAGCAGCAGAATAAGGACAATGGACTTCAAAAAAGCCGACTAACAAACCCAGAGAACTGGTAGGTGAGGTCCCATGAGAAGAAAATCTAAGGCAAAAAGGAGTGCAGAAAAGTTGGCTGTTTCTCACAGAGACAATATTAAAGGCACAACAGCAAACTATCCCAGTGCAAAGGAAAAACAGAAAGAATAGTAAAAGGCCAATATGGCTGCATCAGGACCTCTTTAATGACCTGAAAATCAAACAGAATCCTACAGAAAGTGGAAACATGGACAGATTGCTAAGGATGAATTCCAAAGAATAGCACAAGCATGTAGGGACAAAATCAGAAAGGCTAATGCACAAAATGAATTACACCTAGCAAGGTACATAAAAGGCAATTAGAAGAGGTTCTATAAATACATTAGGATCAAGAGAAAGATGGTACTCAGGCAAGGAATCAATATTCTATAGTGAAAGAGACTTGTCTGTTGGACCTCATTTGCTGGAGACTGTGTAGTGAAGGAGGTAGGGGACTGCAGGAAGAGAAAGGTTTAACCATGAGATCAAAGGGTTGAAGTCTTCCTGGAGAACTAGATTATTTCCCTGCTTCTGTCACAAGGATCCTACATGATGCTGGGCAAGTCACTTACAATTAGTGGCCACCTAGAAAAAGGTTGGTGTGTTTTCCTCATTTTCTGTGACCTCACTTTGAGACACCTGGGATCTGAAGTGCTGAGCACTCAGAGCTGCAAGTTAAGTGAATGGGAACTATGCTTTGAACGTATAAAGTGCTATAAAAATACTAAGTAAAAAAAAAAATCAAGTCCTAGAAGTCCCAAATTGGGTACCCAAAATTAGGGAAGATTTAAAAAAATGGACCTTATTCTATTAAGATTATTATTGTAGTGTTTATGGAACCCAGCTGAGATTGGGACCCCACAGAGTTAACCACGGTATAAACACAGAGTAGTAGATAGTCCCCGTGCCAGAAGCTTACAATCTAAATAGAGGAGACACAAAGGGTAAGAGGAAAGGAAACATACAAGTAGAGAGAAGTAAGTGGTGGTTTGCAAATGTCAAGTTGGTGTCATGATTTGTGTGTGTGTGTGTTTTGTTTGCTTTTATTCTTTTTGAAGGGTTTTACTGGGAGGGGGTTATCTAAAGAGAGACAAGCAAAGCAAAGGTTGAAATTAAAGGAAAAGGGAAAGAAAAAGGGAGAAGGGAGAGGAAGAAGGGGAGGAGGAGGGCAGGGGGAGTGAGGCTGATGCAAAAAGACTGAGGCAGGGGTTCAATGTGATAGGAAACAGCCAATCAGCAGAGGGAAGAGAATGTCCAGAGTAAAAACTGTAGAAAAGTATATCTGTGCCTCAGTTCCCCATCTGTAAAGTAGGGATAATACCACATCTTACCTCACAGGGGTTTTGCAAAGATGAATTCATTAATATTTGTAAAACATTCAGAATCTACAGTGATGTGTCACAGAAAAGCCCAAGAATAAATTGATAATTCTGTATTCAGTGCAGGGTTTGGATAGTGTGGAGTAAATAAGACATGGGGCCATGAAATTAATGATGAGGATAAAAAGAAACATTGAATAGCTATCAGAGTGGTAGCCGTGTTAGTCTGGATCTGTAAAAAGCAACAAAGAGTCCTGTAGCACCTTACAGACTAACAGACGTATTTGGAGCATAAGCTTTCGTGGGTAAATACGCATGCGTCTGACGAAGTGGGTATTCACCCACGAAAGCTTATGCTCCAATACGTCTGTTAGTCTATTAGGTGCCACAGGACTCTTTGTTGCTTTTTATTGAATAGCTACTCATTCACTGTGCATCACCTGTAGTCTGCACAGAAGGAGGTAGGTGCTCTATGGGAAAAATGTATGTGATCATGTAATTAAAGACTTTATAACAGTGCATATGCACAAGGGGGTTGAATTAAGGTTGCATCCAACTATTGTCTATATTCTTATACTTAGGCTGTAGGCTCTTTGGGGCAGGGACAGTCTCTGTTACATGTTTTTACAGGGCTAGCAGAATGGGGCTCTGGCATCTAGGTGCTACCACAATACAAATAATATAACTTAAAAATCAATAAATCCAACATACTTGTTGCTGATTTCTAAGACTTAGAAAAATTAGTGCTCTGTCACACTTCAGAATTTGTTCTCATTATCTTTTGTTCATCTAGAACAAACAATGGGGTGCAGAAAGCTCAAAATAATCTAACTTGGGTCTCAGCAGAGAACTATGCATTGAACAAATACTGGGTTCTAGTTTTTAAACAAACAAATTTAATGTGGGAGCGTTGGGAAGTTTCCTGAAGTTTTTGAATGCCCAAGGAAGGTCTAGAACTTGTTGCAAGCAAAACCTAGTTTATGCTTTGTGTTTTAATACATTAAACACTTCCCTTGCACTGACTTCAAATTAATTGTCAATGTGGGAGAGGAGGGAAGATGGTAATGTTGGTATGTGCATATGAGTGTGGTACATTAGTTTCAGATTTAAGAGTTTAGAGGTATTAACTCTTTGAATTACTGCTTTGCAGTGGTCTGTAGCTTTATAGTTGAGTATTCCCCTAAATTTACAGGGATTTTCCCTCCTGTTCACTTTCCCCAAAAAATATTCACCAACAGCAGAGGCGCACAGAACACTTCTTCAGCTCAGAAGCTTGGGAAGAAGAGGATGAAAAGCAGTGTAGGTAGCACTACATAATTCTCCCTAAACCCTCGTTTCTCAATCTCTGTTGAGAAACTGTTATTGCAGACTTTCTTACGGAAGGCCATGTAATAATTACCATAGTCTACCCAATGCCTGGAGTGAACTCAAGTGTATTTTTTTAATACAGACAACAGTACAGTGGAAGAATTGCCGGAACAAACAAGAGTTCAAAGTGGAAACCTTTTTAAAATGAGAAACAGTCATGTAAGTTCAACAAACTAAAACGAATTATTAATAACCTAAATCTATTCTCCTGTGAGCCCAAACTGATGTCTTATAGTAGGCTAAATTCCGAGTATTTGGAAACAATAGTAAATATATTTTCTTTGATTGAACAAACTTTGTGATGCCAACCTCAAGCATAAGAAACAAATTAGTCAGGCTGCCCAAAATCAAGAGGGTTTTTTTTGAGAGAGAGGTTAAGTTACCTTATAGTAAGTGATGTTCTTTGAGATTTGTTGTCCATATGCATTCTAATCATAGTATTGCAGACCCCTTAGCAATAGAGATCGGAAGTTTTTTTCTTGCTAGCAGTCCCCAGTTGGTCCTTATATGTTCAAGGAATAACCCACGCCCAAGTGCATTAAGGGGCAAGGCAAACCAAGTGCCTCTCAGTTCCTTATAATCATACTTAATTTTTTAAATGTGATTTTATAAAATGTTCATAACAGCAATGGCTGAAAATCTAAATAAAACAATTCCTATCACAGCCTGCAACAACCATCATCCCACACTGCCTGTTACCTCTTTAATTTTGTCCCTCTTCTCTCGGATGTCCTTATCTGTTGGGTCTTCACTGTTTATCCCTATGAGGTTTGGTACTGGTACAGGTGGCAGAGGCTTGCTCTCTTTCTTCTTCATTTCTTGGGCTACTTTGTTCTTTTCTGTCTGAATCTCTGCTCGAATCTCATCTCGAGATTTCTTCAGCTTCTCTTTTGCCTCCTCTAGAGCTTTTTCATGATCTGCTCGGATCTTATTTCTCAGGCGTTCCTCTTCTTCTCTAAAGAAACAAATGGTAGTCAGAGCCTGGCTTCATAAAGGACACAACAATTGTGACATTAAAGAGAAGAAGCCATATTCTGCATTGGTTTACAGTAAGCAATTATGTTGACTTAGAGTTACACAGAAGTATGTCAGTTTAGAATTTAGTCCCAGTTCTCAAACCGATTCCACACAGTTTCACTTTAGTGCCTTATTTGTTCACGAACCATGAGAGCACTCATCTTTCTGAGGCAGTGACTGGTTATTGCAAAGCAGGTCTCAGTATTTTTCCTTGCCCTTTCATTCAACAGATAAGAAAGAAAAGGCCCCATGTTCTGAATTTCATCTACAGGGCTGACACATGGTTTCATAAATGCATCTCTCCCCCTATATAGAACACACAAAATTATGCTTAGCAATGACCTAATTAAAAAAATACCAAGAGGGCTCTTCCCTACCTTTTGCTCAATAAAGGGTTGCATCAACAACCTGTTTTATGTGTAACACAGCAAATTGCAGTCACTAGGGTTACCATATTTCAGCAAGCAAAAAAGGACAGGAGGAGCCCCGCCCTAGCCCCGCCCCGTCCTGTCCTAGCCCCGCCCCTGCCCCTCCCACTTTCCGCCCCCCTTAGAGCCCCCAACCCTCTCCCCGCTCCTTGTCCCCTGACTGCCCCCTCCTGGGACCCCTGCTCCTAACTGCCCCCCAG